GAAGGACTGATGCTGAAGCTGAAACTCCAATACTTTGGCCACCTGATATGAAGAGCTGACTCATTTGAAAAGACCCTGATGCTGGGACAGATTGAGGGCAGGAGGAGAAGGGGATGACAGAGGATGAAATGGTTGGATGGCATCACCGACTCAATGGGCATGAGTTTGAGTAGACTCCAGGAGTTGGTGATGGACAGGGAGGCCTGGCATGCTGCAGTCCATGGGGTCACAAGGTTGGACATGACTGAGCGACTGAACTGAACTGAATTGGTTAGAACCGTAGGCATGTGCGCAGCACTCCAGACCTATAGAACCAGAATCTGTGTTTTCACAAGATTCCCCAGGTGATCTGGGTGCCCTTGCATTTGCGTTAAACATGCTTAATGGTGAGTCTGAGCTGTTCTGAGGTCGGATCACCTCTGGGCCAGCCAGTTTGGCTTTCCCTGGGTTCCTGAGCTCAAGTCCTTAAAATTAACCATCTGTTGCTTGAAATGACTTAAGTGACTGTCTGGTCCCTGAGACACAAAGGGCCTTCTCAGAGTCAGACCATGGGGTGAGGGGCATGTCTCCTCATTTCAGCCCCACCCCTCACTCTATCCCATGTGCTAGGTTCACACTGTGGAGTGACTGCCCTGGACAAGCCACCACCTTGTTTATACCTATGGGCTTCTCCTTTCTTTTCTCCATGTAAGCCTTGTTTATCCCTATTCACATGGGAGTTTCTAGAGCTCTGCTGTCTGGTATGGTAGCCATTAGCCACCAGTCATTACTGAGCTCTTGAAACACAGCTGGTTTAAATTAAGATGTGCTACTATGTAAAATATGTTGCAAATGTTAAAGAACATAAAATATCTTAGGAATAATTTTCATAGTGATTATATTTTGTAATTATAATTGAATATATCATTGTATTAAGTAAATATTGAATATATTGTATTAAGTAAAATATTTTATCAAAATTGATTTCAACTTAAAAAATGTGGCTACTAGAAAACGTAAGATTACACATGTGGCTCACATTATATGTGTGCTAAGTCTTGTCCCATTCTTTGTGACCCAATAAACTGTAGACCGCCAGGCTCCTCTGTCCATGGGATATCCCCAGTATTATATAGTTGACCCTTTAACAACTTGGGGATTAGGGGTGCCCATCCTCCCCACAGTGGAAAATCTGTGTATAACTTATAGTCAGCCCTCCATATACATGTAGTTTCTATGTATCTGCAGTTCTACATTGCAGATTTAACCAATCTCAGATCATGTAGTAATGTAGTATTTACTACTGAAAAAAATCCCTGTATAAGTGGACCTGCAAGGTTCAAACCTGTACTGTTCAAGGATCAACTGTATTTTTCTGGACAATGTGGGGCTAGAGAACAGGCCATGGTCCCTCCATTAGAGAGAAGCTCCCAAGGGGGCAGGCATCACATCTCTCCCTTGCTCTATACCAAGCTCTGTGACCAGCTCTCTGGAGGTGGGTGAGCATCAGGGCTGGCTACACAGACCCTTTCCAGGGTTCAGCCTAGGGTTTAATTCCACTGCACAAGGTCATGAATGGTCCTGTCATTAAGATGCTTGCCCTCATGAGGGATACTGCATGTTTCTTGGCCCTGGTTGCCGAAGGAAATCACAGGAGAAAGCTTTCTCTTCCACTCTTCATGCAAGGATTTCCCCTCTGTGAGTAGTTCTTAGGATGTAGATGCCAGGTTTGAATCACAAAGCTACCATTTACTGAGTGCCTGCTATTTGACAGTTCTGTGCTGATCCTTACACAGTCCATGGGGCAGCCATTAGCATTTGTTTCTGGGAAAGGAAATAAGGTTCAATAGGTTAATTTCTACATAGTTAGAAGTTAGTGGAGGTAAAATCCAAGACCATTGGATAACACTGCCAGCTAAACTTTATCATTAGGGGGTTCAAAAGGCTCCACATATGAATCATACTCTTAATTCCAGAAACTGCTCTTTCTAAATAAGCATAAGGAAAAAGCACAGCACATAAAGCTGTTGAGAAGCAGGGGGCGCTGCTGGATTCCCTTTGGGTAGCATGGCATCATTGACAATGTATCTATGGCATAAGGGGCCAGAGAGGATTCTTACAGGCCTGTGGTCTATGGGGTGGTCCCAAACCACACATGGGCCGAAACTGGCCTTTGATGTAGAAGCAAAAGGGAATACAGGGCCATTCACATTTAAAGGGGCTGTGGCCTTTAGGTTATTCTCTATCTCCTAGTGTTAGAAGGAATAAAACATCTTCAATGGTCTCCCCAAATTAAAGCCAAAGGGGAGGGGGCAGGGTTGAGAGCCTTAGAGTTTTCCCATTCTGTTAACAGCTCTCCTGCCTGCTTTCCTTTCCCCTCCTCAAGTACCACGACCTAATAAAACTTTTCCTGCTTAGTTGAGACATCAGATCTAATGTCCTCACTGATGGGAATTTAAAAAAAAAAAAAAAAAGGTTTCATGTGACCTGGGTTGTATATAGCTCCCCAGGTGGCGCTAGTGGTTAAAGAATCCACTTGCTAATGCAGGAGACTCAAGAGACATGGGTTCGATCCCTGAGTCAGGAAGATTCCCCTGGAGAAGGAAATGGTAACCCACTCCAGTATTCTTGCCTGGAAAATCCCATGGACAGAGGAGCCTGGTGGTCTACAGTCCATGGGGCTGCAAAAGAGTCAGATATGACTGAGCACACATTATACTCCTACCAACTCTATTCCTTTAAAATGGATCATAGAAAACAAGGACTAGTCAGGCTGTAGAGACCAGAGAATTCAAATCCTTTATTCTGCAGAAACAGAGATATGGAATTTAAAGTCACACATTTACTGGCAAAAGTTGGGACCAGAACCTTGGACCTCTGATTCCTCATTTCCCCAGTTCCAAATAGAAAATCAGAAAAGGGATATTTTAAACATTTCTGTGCCCCCACCCAAATTCATATATTGAAACCCTAATCCCCCCAACCCTCACCCCATGTGGCTGTATTTGGAGACAGGGCCTTTGAAGACATGACAAAGGTTCAATGAGGTCAAAAGGGTGTGGCCCTAATCCAAGAGCACTTCCCAAGTGGTGCCGTGGTAAAGAATCCACCTGCCAATGGAGACGCAAGAGCCAAGGGTTCTATCCCTGGGTCAGGAAGATCCCCTGGAGTAGGAAATGGCAACCCACTCTAGTAAATTCCACGAGCAGAGGAGCCCGGAGGACTACAGTCTGTGAGGTTGCAAAGAATTGGACAGGACTGAGCGACTAACACATACACACCTAATCCAATAAGGCTGGTGCCCTTATAAGAAGATCAAGAGACACCAGAGTTATCTCTGCCATGAGAGAACACAGCAGAAAGGTGGCTAGTCAGAAACAGAGCCTTCACCAGAAACCAAATCCTGCTGGACCCTGAGCTTGAACTTCCAGCTGCCAAAACTGTGAGAAAATTAATTTCTGTTATTTAAGGCATGCAGTCTGTGGTATTTTGTTATGGCAGCCTGGGCTGAGTAACACAAGAGGATAAAGTAATTTTTATCTGTGGGCCTCAACTCAAGTTTGGGCATGAAAGGTGCATAATGTAGGGGAAAACACAGGACCAGAACTGACCAAGATAGGGGCCATTCAGAGACTGACTAGGGACCACTTTCCATATGGAATACCCCAGCCCACAGGTACTAGGTGGCCATTAAAAAAAGAATGAGTCAATTAGTTGAAGAATTTGGGGAAAGCATCCAAACTATGCATATCCTGTTCTGTGAAACAGCCTGTGTGTCCTTTCATGATGCAAGCAAACAGGAAAAACATTGGCCTGGGTACACCTCACCCCCTTCTGAAACCTTCTCTGGCACACAGTATCCCTTGAAATCAAGGTTGGGAGGACTGTTTCCTGAGAGGAGAAAATGAGTCTGACCCTCTGGTCTATAAGCCCTTGGGAAGGGTGGAGGGACACTTGTTACACTTCTGAGGGTCTGATGAACGCCCACGTCCTTTAAGATGTCAGGCCATTAAGCAGAAGCCAGCGGCCTGAACTGGAAATGTTCTCACTGGTGGAGTGTCTTTAGCATGTGAGAGATATACCAGCCACAAAGGAATAGTTTTACTTACGGTCAAATGTTTTCCTGGAACTTTTGAAGTTAATAAAATTTTTTTAAGTACAAAGGAAATAAAACAACAGCAAAATAATCAGTGTTAACAAGCTGGTATGTTTATCTCCTATATATTTTTTTGAGTTTTACAAAGCTTTTTATGACAGGCATGTATTACTTTATAATGATGATAAAAACATTGTTCATTCTCTAAATAGTTCAGTATCACATGCTAGGAAGTTTTCTTGATGCTGGAGATACAGCAGTAAACAAGATAAAAATCCCTCTTCTAGAACTTCCAGTTAGGGGGTATTTGGATGGAAGAGTAAAATAGGAGACAGTGATGGCCCTGGAAGGAGAAGTTGGGGTGGAGTGAGAGGATGGAGAGCCCTGGGGATGAGGCATCAGAGAGGGTTCTCCAAGGAGGGGACGTCTGAGCAGAGATCTGAAGTAAGTGAGGGGCCAAGTCAGGGGCAGGGCTGTGGAAAGAGCTCTTATTTACACAGGAAACAGCAGGCGAAGGCCCTGAGGTTTTGCTCAGGGACAAGCAGAGGGCCAGTGTGACCACAGTGGAGCTAGCAGTGACCACAGTGGAGGAGCAGAAGGAAATGGGTCTGGAGAGCCAGGCAGGAGTGCACTGGGCCTCGTAAGGCCATGATGAGGAGTCCATCCAGTCTGTCTCAGTGTGAGGGGAAGCAAAGGGAAGGCTGAAGCCAGGGAGTGAGGTGATGTGTAGCCCGACACTGTCTTCTGGATGCCTCCCTTGTTCCAGGGACCACATTTCCCCCATAAGATGACAAGGTCCTGAGTTCAGGGATATGGGAATGTTTTCTCTGGGTTCCTCTCCCAAGAGAGGTCTAAAGCAGGAGCTGCAGGCCATAGGAAACTGATGGCTTATCTCTCTCCAGGGTTTTCACTTCCTGGGACTCACCTTCTACCGTCAACTCCACCGTCACCTGGCGGGCACCACTGCCATTGGTGGCTTCACAGGTATACTTTCCCTTGTCCTCGTCAAGCACAGCATGAATCAAAAGGCTGAAAGTCCCCCGGGTACCACAGTCCAGCAGGAAGCGGCCCCCACTGGTGATGGGTTGTCCATTTCTGTGCCATGTTACTTGGGGCTCTGGGTAGCCCCGGACCTTCAAGGAAAAGAAGAAAGGGTGAGAGCTTGTATATAAGGAGTACTTCCTATGTATCAAGTATTGTTCTGGGTACATTACATGTGTTAATTCATATAATCCTCATAAGCAGCATGTGAAACAAATACTACTTTCATTTCCATTTTAGAGATGAGGAAATTGAGATGCAGAGTTTTGGTAGATTTCTTGAGGCCTTGAAGATAAGAAAGTGGCCAAGTCAGGCATCCTGGCCTCAGAGCCCACCACACAGATGTCTCTCAAGCCTGGTTGCATGATTAGAATCACTGGGGGAGATTCAAAGCAAATACTAGTGCCCAGGTCCAACCTTGGACCAATTAAATCAGAACCCCAGGGGTGGGGACTGAACATGGGGATTCTAGACCAATGTTTCCCACTCTAACAAGCAACAGATACTTCTTAAAAATGCAGATTCTACTTCTATAGTTCCGGGGTGGGCCTGAGATTCTGCCATTCAGAGAAGCTCTCAGATGCTGCTGAGGCTGCTGGACCCTAGAACTCACCTTGGGTAGCAAGGTTCTAGATCTGAGCTGCCCAGTACGGCGGCCACTAGCCACACATGGTGACCAGGTTCTTGAAACGTGGCTGATCCTGAGTCGCACCATAAGATTAAGTGTAAACTACACAAGGGGCTTTGAAGAGTTACTATGAAAAGAGAATGTAAAATGCCTCGATAATTTAGAAACACTGATTACATATTGAAAAGACAGTAACTTTGATATATTGGGTTAAATAAAATATATCGTTAGAACTAATTTCACTTGTTTCTTTTTAGTGTTTTAACGTGACCACTAGGAAAGGTACACCTACATATGTGCCTTGCTTGATGTGTCTATCAGGCAGTGCTACCCAAAACCACTCTCTCTACGAATTGTTAGCAGCTAACATTTTCTGAGTGCTAAGTGTTAAGCACTTTTCTAAATGCTTAACATATGTGAGCCTCATAGCAACTTGTTCAGAGAGAAGATGTTTCCCCAATGACGGAGAAATGCAGGGAGAGATAAGTTCCAAGAAAAGAAATCACTTTGAGTTTCAGAGAAAGTTCTCCAAGGGCCCTGAAACCCAAGAAACTCAATCAGCTGGCCCATCAGTGCAAAGCCTGGGACCCTGAATTTGGGCATTTTAGCACTGGAAATGCACAGAAGACATCATAGAACCCTCCTGAGAAAGAAACTGTTGGTGTTGCAAATAGGCGACAGCAGCAGCTTTTACATACATGCCCACTTCCAAGACAAGAGAGCACGTACAGATGCAGCAAAACCAAATTCACTGGATAACCCCAAATTGCATTTACAAAGAAAGCCTTCAGTGACTGGCAACTGTAATTTTCATCACAGGCCTCCAGCGAGGTCAGAGAGGATGCTTTATCAGCACGTGGGAGAAAGGGGAGGGTAGGTGGCTGTGCACTCACACCTGGACCATTGCGGCCTTGCCAAGCACACATGTCCTATCTCAGGGTGATGGGTCTGCAGGGGACCACGTGCATATTATAATGTCTATTGTGACATGAAACAAAAAGAGATCGCCTCTGGGTTGCTCCTCTTTTCCTTTCACTTAACTATCATTTTCTGATATTCTTGCAAATAACACCCTTGATCTTTGTAAAACAGAAAAAAATTTAAATGAAAATATGTGTTCCTTTCATATTAGTGTGTCTGTATAATGAATATATGACTTCCCCAGTGGCTCAGTGATAAGGAAGCTGCCTGCATTGAGGAGTCACAGAAGATGCAGGTCTGATTCCTGGGTCAGGAAGATACCCTGGAGTAGGGCATGGCCCTCACTCCAGTATTCTTGCCTGGGAAATCCCATGGACAGATGAGCCGGGTGGGCTACAGCCCATGGGGTCACAAAGAGTCAGACATGACAGAAGCAACTTAACACACATGCACATAATAAATGTATAGCACAACCATTTATTAATTTGTGGAGCTCCTCAAGGTACCTAAATCTAGAACTGGAATTAAAAGTGGTACACAAATAAACATTATGCATGTCTGAAGGTGGCAGATGCCACATATCCATATAAAAAACATGTCATCTTGTGGTACACTCTTGGCACAAAACTTCATGCCAAGGAATATCAGACAATCACTCTAGTAACGCATTCTTTTTCTCTGTGAAGCTTATCTTCAGGAAACAGCTAAGGAAAGAAACTGTCCTACAGAAGGAAGCCCCTTGGGAGTCTGGTCTTACAGTGAATTTGTGCATCATCATCCTTTCCTCCACCTTGTTAGGCAGGGTCATTCTCACCTCCAGAAAATGATCAGGTAACCTTCTGTCAGTGTCCGAGAAAGGGATGCAGGGCCCTGGGACAGGGGCTGGGGGGTTGGGGGGGTGATGAATCATTAACTTCACCAAATGCATCCTTAGCATTCCATGAGCAAGTGCTCTGGCCCCCTGCAGCGGTGCCAGCTCTAAGGCCATCAGGGCTGGAGGCATCAATGATTAACTGGGGACATTGCAAGTGCTCCAGACCTTGAGGACACAGATCCCTATTTCCCTTTCTATTTTCCTCTCATTTTCTACATGCATAGACATTCCCCTCCACCCCACACTACCAAATCCACCTCTGCAGTGCCCTTATATATTAAAGTAAGTATCCAAGGATTTTTTAAAAAACGCTGAAACTAGTGCCACTTAGAAAACTGCAGTTTGCAATGGACTTTTGTACACCCTGCATCTGAAGCAAAAGCAGGAATTTCTATGACCTTTTTCTGTTCCAAGGTCTGAATGATCCGCAGCTCCAATTCTTATCCTCCCTATATGGAAAAAATTGCTCAGTCACTACCTAACCTTACCTAAAAATTACTCAACTTCAAGTAAACTCGTTTTTATTGTCTTCCTACTATCTTGGGCTCCTAGGTGGGGAAAGAAGAGAAACTTAGACTCACATTCTTGGGTGTGTGACAACAGCCCTGCCCTCCCTGGATGTCTTATCTGCCTTCATCACGGGCCTTCTGCCAAGAAGCCACAGCTGGGACTTTTACAGCCCAGTCAAAACTGCAATAAAAGCCCAGTGATACTTTAGTTTTCAGAGTCTTCCACATAGAGAATCTTATTTGATTCTTTTTTTTTCCATTTATTTTTATTAGTTGGAGGCTAATTACTTTACAATATTGTAGTGGTTTTTGTCATACATTGACATGAATCAGCCATGGATTTACATGTATTCCTCATCCCGATCCCCCCCCCCCCCCCACCTCCCTCTCTACCCGATCCCTCTGGGTCTTCCCAGTGCACCAGGCCCGAGTACTTGTCTCATGCATCCAACCTGGGCTGGTAATCTTTTTCACCCTAGATAATATATATGTTTCGATTCTGTTCTCTTGAAACATCCCACCCTCGCCTTCTCCCACAGAGTCCAAAAGTCTGTTCTGTACATCTGTGTCTTTTTTTCTGTTTTGCATATAGGGTTATCATTATCATCTTTCTAAATTCCATATATATGTGTTAGTATACTGTAATGGTCTTTATCTTTCTGGCTTACTTCGCTCTGTATAATGGGCTCCAGTTTCATCCATCTCATTAGAACTGATTCAAATGAATTCTTTTTAATGGATGAGTAATATTCCATGGTGTATATGTACCACAGCCTCCTTATCCATTCATCTGTTGATGGGCATCTAGGTTGCTTCCATGTCCTGGCTATTATAAACAGTGCTGCGATGAACACTGGGGTGCACGTGTCTCTTTCAGATCTGGTTTCCTCAGTGTGTATGCCCAGAAGTGGGATTGCTGGGTCATATGGCAGTTCTTTTCCAGTTTTTTAAGAAATCTCCACACTGTTCTCCATAGCGGCTGTACTAGTTTGCATTCCCACCAACAGTGTAAGAGGGTTCCCTTTTCTCCACACCCTCTCCAGCATTTATTGCTTGTAGACTTTTGGATAGCAGCCATCCTGACTGGTGTGTAATGATACCTCATTGTGGTTTTGATTTGCATTTCTCTGATAATGAGTGATGTTGAGCATCTTTTCATGTGTTTGTTAGCCATCTGTATGTCTTCTTTGGAGAAACGTCTGTTTAGTTCTTTAGCCCATTTTTTGATTGGGTCATTTATTTTTCTGGAATTGAGCTTCAGGAGTTGCTTGTATATTTTTGAGATTAATCCTTTGTTGCTTCGTTTGCTATTATTTTCTCCCAATCTGAGGGCTGTCTTTTCACCTTGCTTATAGTTTCCTTTGTTGTGCAAAAGCTTTTAAGTTTCATTAGGTCCCATTTGTTTATTTTTGCTTTTATTTCCAATAATCTGGGAGGTGGGTCATAGAGGATCTTGCTGTGATTTATGTCGGAGAGTGTTTTGCCTAGGTTCTCCTCTAGGAGTTTTATAGTTTCTGGTCTTACATTTAGGTCTTTAAGGCATTTTGAGTTTATTTTCGTGTATGGTGTTAGAAAGTGTTCTAGTTTCATTCTTCTACAAGTGGTTGACCAGTTTTTCCAGCACCACTTTGTTAAAGAGGTTGTCTTTTTTCCATTGTATATTCTTGCCTCCTTTGTCGAAGATAAGGTGACCACAGGTTCGTGGATTTATCTCTGGGCTTTCTATTCTGTTCCATTGATCTATATTTCTGTCTTTGTGCCAGTACCATACTGTCTTGATGACTGTGGCTTTGTAGTATAGTCTGAAGCCAGGCAGGTTGATTCCTCCAGTTCCATTCTTCTTTCTCAAGATTACTTTGGCTATTCGAGGTTTTTTGTATTTCCATACAAATTGTGAAATTATTTGTTCTAGTTCTGTGAAAAATACCGTTGGTAGCTTGATAGGGATTGCATTGAATCTATAGATTGCTTTGGGTAGAATAGCCATTTTGACAATATTGATTCTTCCAATCCATGAACACGGTATGTTTCTCCATCTGTTTGTGTCCTCTTTGATTTCTTTCATCAGTGTTTTATAGTTTTCTATGTATAGGTCTTTTGTTTCTTTAGGTAGATATACTCCTAAGTATTTTATTCTTTTTGTTGCAATGGTGAATGGTA